TATATATATATATATATATATATATATATATATATATATATATATATATATGACTTTACTTTTTCATATAGATATAAAAAATTATATATAATTATACTATTAATAAATAATTTTAAAAGAATTTAGAAGAAGAAATATTATTTGAACTTAAAATATGTATTTGATACTCAAAAAAAAAATGTATTTGGTACTCACAACTATTGAATAGGTAGTAACTTTTAATAAATGTTGTGACTCACAGTGAAATCAAAAGTTATGATTATCAAGTACACATTTTAAATTTATATAGCATTGTTCATTTATAAAATCTTTATAAAAATGTCCAAAATAAGTTAAAAGAGAAATAAGAGTTAAAAAAAANTTTACCTTTGTCTTCGTCATCTGATCGCTGCTCCATCTGAAGATCCCTTCTCTATTCTTAATAATGTTAAGCTATCTGATTCAAATCCAAAAGATTTTACAATGGTTTTGAATTATGGGTTGAGATCTATAAAGAACTCTGCGAAGCTTTTGATCAGAGAAATGGAGTCTGCGAGCTGGGATATTGAAGCTTGGAGTTATATTCAAGAACACAAATCACAAAGGTTTCGCTCTTGAATCATTCGTGTGCAAAGAAATGTTTGATGGGTTCAACAAACCCAATTTCTCTCTCCCAAACGAGGCTTTAACAGACGATAATTTGAGTCAATTTTTTTTCTTTGATCAGTTCAAGAAGTTAAAATTAGTGGCTTCAATTTATTTTTTCAAGAAAAATACAGATTCTTTGATTGGGAAGTTCTTGAAGACCAAGTATCTCCGTTTGGTTCACCCGAAAATGGAGACTTCATTTTCTGGGAATATGAATCAGAGAAAGAAAATCAATTTTGGAGAGTACCCAGAAACGGAGTTTTTCAAAGCATTTGCTGAAATGGCAAGAAGGGTTTGACTTTTTCCCTGTTTGACAAGAAGTTAACATTTTTCAAGTGAGAAAGAGATCAACATTTTCTGAAGTGTATATGAACATGGTGGTCTTATATGTTGGGTTTGATCTGGGAGGACCAAAAATGGTGTTGTTTTTGGTGTAAGATTTTCAAAAAAAAAAATAAAAATATATAAAATGTCGTAAAACGGTGACGTTTNGAAAAAAAATATTGAACAATCTCCAAATCTCTTTCCTGTAAAACGAACAAACTGTCCAAAATTGAAGTGTTTCGATCGAAAGCACTTCGATACTTAAATCAGTAATGAAGCAGAGAGAATTGCACCAAGATTCAGTGTACCTTTAACCTTGGTCTCTTGTGTTTTTTATAGATCATTATCCCTTTAGAGTTTCCTCGATTTTAAGTTCAAGGTGGTACACTTTCCTTTAATTCAGTGGTTGGGTTTGGGAAGTTACTGATATTTCTCAAACAATTTCTCTTCATATCTTCAATCTCATCGATTTTGTTTATCTGATTGCCTAGATTTTAAGCGAATATTTAATTTTTCATCTATCGTTTTGAACGGACATATCGAACGCCGAGCACACTTGACATTTTCTGAGCAGATCAAGAAGTTCAGTTTGGTACAAACTGATTTCTTCAATTGCTTTGCCGAGCACTTTGACGGACTCGACTTGGTACAAGCCGAGCTCTTACCCTACTTAGCTGAACGGGCTAATGAGTTCGACTCGGTTAGAAAGCTCTAAGTGGAAGATCCTTTATCACGTTATTGGTCTTATCAACATCACATAAGCACATTTAATGTTAGGTCACGTGTAATGAGGTTTAACCTCTTCGGTAACACATATAGACATTTTACAAAACAGTTGCCAGAAAGTACAAAAAAACCAAAAAGGCAGCCAAAATGTTGCAGAGCTGCATATCCTGTTCAACAATAGAGAAGTACAGCGACGGCACTGGAAAATATTTTTTGGGTAAAAATTCTAATTGGTCTGCAAATTTTGTATTTGATTTTAATTTGGTCTATAAATTTTTAATTATCTCATTTAGTCTATCAACTATTCATTTCGTTTTAGTTAAATTCTTTCATCAATTTTCGATGTTGTTTAAATTGGATTTAGATCAATTGAAGACCTATCCAAATCTTTTTTGTGATTTTTTACCTCAATCAATACCATATCAGTTTTGCAAACGATCGCTTGAAATGAAAATTACGTTCCAATCCTAACTAGGAGCATTAACTGCTCGAGCGACCTACTAATTATTAATTTGTGAGGGGGAGTCTTAGCTCCGCCCTTGTTTGTGTGCATGTGTATGCATTTGTGGGAGTGAACTGGCTTTCAATTGATTGATTTTATTTCGTTGAAACCCTAATTGAATGTTTATTCGTACCTATTCTCTTTGATACATTTNGAAGGAAGAGAGAGAGAAAATGGCAAGAATTATCAAAAAAGTAGAGCAGGCCCTATGCATGGGAGGCCCCAAGGAAGAGCAAGGCTATTATGGTGAGCGTGGTGAGCAAGGCTATGGTGAGCGTGGTGAGCAAGGCTATTATGGTGAGCGTGAACAAGGCTATGGTGAGCGCAAGCCAGAGCAAGGCTATGGTGAGCGTGGTGAGCAAGGCTGTGGTGAGCGTGGTGACCAAAGCTATGGTGAGCGCAAGCCAGAGCAAGTCTATGGTGAGCAAGGCTATGGTGAGTGCAAGCCAGAGCAAGGCTATGGTGAGCAGAACTTTTGACATCAAATAATTTTTTTTCTGTGGCTTGTCTTGTAGGTTGATGGATTATTGGGGAAGTGCTGATCTGCTTGTGGGTGTGAAGAATAATGAAAAAAAAAGAAAAAGAAAACAAGAAATATCTTATATGGTTTCTACTTTGTACTAGTTGCCTGACTGTTTGAAGTGTTTTTTAGGCTGGGAGGGAAATGTAATGAATGACTCTGTATGTTGATAAACATGCTAATAATAAATTTTCCTTGGGCTTGTTTGTAAAACCATTGTTGTCAACGTGCAGTTCGAGAAATAAATAATTAACCAAGAAATCCACGGGATACAACAAACATCATGGCTTGTGACTTCAAATGTATTCCGTTGAAAATCTTTTTTTTTTTTCACCACCTCGCGCGTATTTTCAAAAATCCAATCATTCTTTTCCAACCAAATAATCCAAACCGTAGCTAAAATTGGAATTGAAATTGCACAATTCCAACAAGGTAATTGTAGAGGCAAAAAATCGTAGATACCTCTTATGGTAAATTTACGATGTAATTTCTGAAAAAAAATATTGAACAATCTCCAAATCTCTTTCCTGTAAAACGAACAAACTGTCCAAAATTGAAGTGTTTCGATCGAAAGCACTTCGATACTTAAATCAGTAATGAAGCAGAGAGAATTGCACCAAGATTCAGTGTACCTTTAACCTTGGTCTCTTGTGTTTTTTATAGATCATTATCCCTTTAGAGTTTCCTCGATTTTAAGTTCAAGGTGGTACACTTTCCTTTAATTCAGTGGTTGGGTTTGGGAAGTTACTGATATTTCTCAAACAATTTCTCTTCATATCTTCAATCTCATCGATTTTGTTTATCTGATTGCCTAGATTTTAAGCGAATATTTAATTTTTCATCTATCGTTTTGAACGGACATATCGAACGCCGAGCACACTTGACATTTTCTGAGCAGATCAAGAAGTTCAGTTTGGTACAAACTGATTTCTTCAATTGCTTTGCCGAGCACTTTGACGGACTCGACTTGGTACAAGCCGAGCTCTTACCCTACTTAGCTGAACGGGCTAATGAGTTCGACTCGGTTAGAAAGCTCTAAGTGGAAGATCCTTTATCACGTTATTGGTCTTATCAACATCACATAAGCACATTTAATGTTAGGTCACGTGTAATGAGGTTTAACCTCTTCGGTAACACATATAGACATTTTACAAAACAGTTGCCAGAAAGTACAAAAAAACCAAAAAGGCAGCCAAAATGTTGCAGAGCTGCATATCCTGTTCAACAATAGAGAAGTACAGCGACGGCACTGGAAAATATTTTTTGGGTAAAAATTCTAATTGGTCTGCAAATTTTGTATTTGATTTTAATTTGGTCTATAAATTTTTAATTATCTCATTTAGTCTATCAACTATTCATTTCGTTTTAGTTAAATTCTTTCATCAATTTTCGATGTTGTTTAAATTGGATTTAGATCAATTGAAGACCTATCCAAATCTTTTTTGTGATTTTTTACCTCAATCAATACCATATCAGTTTTGCAAACGATCGCTTGAAATGAAAATTACGTTCCAATCCTAACTAGGAGCATTAACTGCTCGAGCGACCTACTAATTATTAATTTGTGAGGGGGAGTCTTAGCTCCGCCCTTGTTTGTGTGCATGTGTATGCATTTGTGGGAGTGAACTGGCTTTCAATTGATTGATTTTATTTCGTTGAAACCCTAATTGAATGTTTATTCGTACCTATTCTCTTTGATACATTTCTTATCATGATCTTATTAACAATGAGGACCAAAATGATTGAGGGTTTTAAGTAGAGTTGACAATCGTGTTGGGTAGAAAAATTTTGTGTCAAAAAATTCTCTATTCATATCTCATTTATCTATATCCATAAGGCAGGAAATGTAAAAAACATTTTTTTTCACTTTTACCCACTAAAATCACAATTATTTCATTCTTATCCCTTAACATTAAAGTCAAACAAATCATATTCTGAAATAAAATCTAAATACTCACCGCCTTCTACCGTTACAACTCTTTCCTCTCTCTCTCTCTCTCTGGTCCCTGCGTACTCACAATTCACACAACCAATCACATGATCCCTCTCTTCATCTTCCTGCACTCACTCTCTTGCGTGTTGCTCACTGAAGCATTAACCAGATAACATCCACTTCAACAACCACAACCAATTAAAACTAAGAATAGGAATTGTGCGAACACCTTATTACGTTGCTGCCAAGAATCAAACCAATTGGTATATCAGGTATCATCCATGAATATTTTTTTTTTTGAATTCTTATGTACTCCTTGTATTTGTCAAAGTGGCAGCTCCACTTCATATCACTTCAGAACAAGACAAGGGACGGCTCAACTCAGAAAGTATTACATTCTTTTTGAGGAATCTGCCACAAGGTTGAATATGAGGTGCTTTTATCGTCTCCGGCTTTTGTATTTTCTTCCCCCTTCTTAGTCTTTTTGTTCATTTTCTTTGCTTTCAAGGAATTTAACATGGGGGGTTTTATTTGATTATTATTCTGTTTGTGAGTGTAGGTTCATCGATTGGTTGTGAATGCAGACCCCAATTTCGTTGAGGGTTGTATTTCATTAAAGCTTAGACATGCCTATAGGTTTCATACGAAAATAGAGTGAAGAAGATTAAAAAGCGTATATGTGGCACAAATTTTCAGGTAGTTTTTTTTTCACAATTCCCACTTCTATCTAGAGAGTGAATATTTGTTTTAGTAGCATGATATGACAAGCACCCTATTCTTCACATGAATATTATGTGTTCTTTCAGAGTGACTTTTTTTTTAAAAAAATGTGTTCATTATCTCTTCCTTTTTTACTATTTTGACAAAATGATCGATTGGAGTTATCCAGTTGATCCAAATTCCTTTGTCATGTGTATAGGATTCAAAGTATTATTGAACAATTGAGAGCATCAAATACGCTGTAGGTGTGGTTGAGTATCTTATGCAGTTGTGTTGGTAACGAGGTTAGACAAAAAAATCGCTAAGTTTGAAACTTTGATGAGAGTAAAGTAGATTGACTTTTATAAGTGAATATAAATGAAAACATGTTATTGTCCCTAGGTTTATTGCAATATTTGTGATTACTATATGACAATATATGATTGGTTGGTTCTATTATAATAATAATAATAATTATTATTATTATTATTCTGAAAAAGGAAAGAAATCGCAAATGCTAGATCAAATTCTATAAATTCTTGGCATGTAGATTCCTCTTGACTATGGATATTTTTTTATTGCACGTCTTTCTTGTTGTAGATGCTTAAAGAATGTTGAATGCAATTTTGTAGGTAGTTGAATGATTAATGTAAAACTACATGTTAATGACATGTGACATTTGTTTTATACATGGCGTTTGTGACTACCTCTTTGCATGCCGATTGTGGGTGTGGCACAATTAGGCGAGTCAATAAGGATTCTGGGCATTTTTGTTGGGATCACCTCGGAAGACAATTCCTTTGGAGCTACTCATTTGAAGTCTTCCTTTTTTTAGTCTGCGTGGGGGGAATTAAATTGGTTCAAAGCATATGTTGTAGAATTACAAATAAGTTTTTAAAACTTTCAATCTAATTTTACGATTAAGAGGCCACATGAGTTGTAGATTTATAAATGGTTATTGATTTCATGTATTAAAAATATGCTTTTAATGGGTTGGATGCTACGAAGCACAATGGTTATATAAGCATGCTACTGGAGGCCACTCCACTCTGTACGGTTCTTTGCATTCAACTTATAGTCCATTTCTTGTTAACCTTTGCCTTTCTAACTTTCTTTGTTTAACCTGTTGCTATTATATTTTCTGGCCACCAAAACCTTTTGCCACTTGTTTTTGCACATGTACAATTATATTTGCTACAAGTTATTTTGTGTTTTGGACAATATACGATTCAAGTTAGGTTCTTCCTTTCTTTTCAATTGGTATGACCATTAAAGAGGTGTTGCCGCGAGCGTTTGGTTTAATTTTTGGAGTTGCTGGTGTTCGCCAGTATCCTCACGCGGGAAGAGCTGCTTTAGGATAGTGATCACACTTCTCTCTCAGATTCGCAAGTCAGCTTTTTCTTATTTGATATTTTCTATTTTATTTTTTGGTCTAATTGCATGCTATTTTTATTGTATGTATTTTTATCCTTTTTGTTTAGTGTTTTTTTTTAAAAAAAAATTGGTTTGCCAAATTGTATTGATAAAATGATGCTAAATTCCCCAATAGATACGTGTATCAAGACCAGGTGTTTACCTTTTTTTTCTTTCTACTCTATTTGAGTTATGAACTTGATATTGCAATCAATCTATCCAAGCTATTGTGTCCCAAATATATATGCCATTTGTTTATTACGTTCTTATATATCATTCTCTACTTTAGTTTGGATTTTCATGTTTTTTAACTTCTTATTCAAGAGCGTGATTTCTTCTACATGTTCCCCTTGCGCCAAAACAAAATAATTTTGTTCCTACTGGTGCTAGGGGCATAGGATCTAAATGGGCAAATCTAGGATGTGGCGATTTAGAGGTTTTTCGAACATCAAGTTCTGTTTGTCGAAAATATAACTTTTATGACCAAGAATTGGAAGAACTCTTACATAAATTGAACAAATATGAGAAAGCTATAACCTCCATAAAGTAGCAGTAGATTGAGGTATTGACAAATGGATGACAGGTGGGTCGAACAGGAAGATGGGAATCCAAATTGAGCGAAAGTCTGCAAACTTTGTAACTCTGAAATTGGGGGACTCAGCCTAAGAATGTTGTTATGAATAAATATAATGTTTCAATTTGATTTCAGTTGAGATTCGTGAAAATTTGTTTTAATTTTCATTGCAATAAGGAAGTTTTTCATGTTTTGTTGTCTGAAACTTATTTCTTTTATTATACTTTGATCCCTGCATTAAAGTTTATGTGACCATCTGGTTAGTGAGATAATAAGTCCTATTTGGTTGTTTCCTAAAAAATTGAGTTGATGCTTCTTATCTTACGTCCATCATAATGTG